ACCAGCCTTGTAGTACATAATCCAATGTTTATCTTATATGGTTCGCAGTCTAACACTCAGCCTACAGAGACACTATGCTCCCCTCGAGCATTCTAGTAGAAGAAAGGGATTCAGTGAGGATAATAGTCCTTGGGCAACCTCACAATTTAGTACCCTGGCTGTTTTGCTGGTAATCTCATTGACTCAAATCCTGAATCTCTGGCTTTGGGCACAGAGGACGGAACACAGATGAGTTTCAAGGCAGAGGTAACCCAGCAGTTGCTCCTTTCAATCCAGATTCATCAGTCTTTCTATTCTTGAAAACTTCTCTGAGATCCTGGTAACATTATTCTAACTTTAAATATTATTGTGAGTGTTTCTATGTATTCTGTATTTTCAAAGAACTGGAAGTTGAGAGAGATTATATTAGGCAAAGCTAACCAGTTGCCAAGTTAACATGGAAAACCTTTTTCATTGACATGTTGGAAACTCAATGCAAACAGATGCTCAAAATAAAAACAGGTACTGTATGACGTGAATTAAGAAGGTCAGACGACAGTCACAGGTATATTAGTGCTGCTGTTGTTGTAACGTCATGTTGGTTTGGTTCCGACTCACAGTGGCCCTGTATAGGGCTTCCAAGGAGCGGCTGAACCACAGACCTGGACGTTAGCTGCCCAGCGCCTATCCTACAGCGCCACAGAGCTATATACATTTTCTATCTCATCTCATAGTTCCCTTCAGGGAATTTATCACACGCTAAAATAATAGTTTGCTAATTTGGATAATATCAATTACCAGCCTCAACCCCTGAAGCTGCTACTTGGAAACCCTGTACAGGGCAGTTATGGGTCGGAATCGACTCGATGGCAGTTAACACTAACACAACAAACCCCTGCAACAATAGGCTTAAACATAACAATAATTGTGAGAACGATGTAGGACTAGGTAGTGTTTTGCTCTGTTGTACATAGGGTCACTACGAGAAACAGTTGGCTTAATGGCACCTAACAACAACCACCACCCATGCCAACCTGCAGTGGTTAAGAGTATAAACTCTACAAAATCAAGTTCTGGTGTGGTGCTGTAGCATAAGCACTGGACTGCTTGTACGGCGGTTCAAACCCACTAATTGGTCCTTAGAAACCCTATGTGTTGTTGTTTTGGTATGTGCTGACTCACAGCGACCCTCTTCGGGGTTTCCAAGGCTGTAAATCTTTACAGGAGTAGAAAGCGTCATTTTTCTTCTGTGGAACAGCTGGTAGTTTCTAACTGCGAATCCTAAGATTAGCAGGCTGATTCGTAACCACTATGCTACCAGAGCTCCTTAGAAACACCCTATACAGGGCCGCTATGAGTTGGAACTGACCCGATAACAAGATGTTTTATCTGAAATTGTGTATCAAAAGTTTAGCACAGTTCATTACAAATGATAGGTCACAGGAAATAAAAATGTGCTCAATGGCATTTGAAAGCACAGAGAGGGTCGACAGTGAAAAGAGCTAACAACCATTATGTCACTTTATGTACTATTTATAATTGCATATATATTTCTACATTATTCTTTAAATAATGGTCACCGCCTGAGACAAATAAGAATGGTCACCACCAGAAAGCTCGAAGTCCTGAATCGTTTTCAACATTCTCTCCATCATGTTTCTAGAAAGTGCTGCTGACAAAGGAAATCATTCAGCAAATGAACTGCTCAGAGTAATTCTCAAACAGGGGTTCGTCTCCTATTGTTTAAAAATAATTTCAGAGAATGCGTGGTGAGAAACAAAATAGAAAAAAAAAAATTGAGATGCTATTTATTCCATGAAAACATTTTTAGTTAGATGTATGTCAATTCCCCACAGCAATTCCTGATGGTGCCTCCCTCCCCACAGCGAGAATTTAAAATGAAATGTATTCGGGATGTTTAATCACTTTTTCTTTTCAAATTACAACTGTTTATTATTCTGTGTAGTAGCTTGGGTCCTGAAATGTGCAAAATGTTTTTATACTGACCTATTAAATTCTGTTAGAAGTGCATTAGGATAATTAGTTCCCTATTTAAAGGAATTGTATAGCCAAGAAGCCTTTCATAACATGAATGATTACTCATTAATTTGTCTCATTTGCAAGTAATTATTTGGCTATTGGATTTCTCAAAGAAAGGCTTCTGTGAAGAAGGCAGTCCCACTACAAGGTAAAGAATCCTCTATGAAATATGCTAACTCAGCCCACATCCAAGGAGCTGTAATTTTATAAACAGGAAGACAAAAGACTACAATATGGAGGCTACTACCACTTCCCCTCCCCTTAAAAACAAACACATATCTGCAATCTAGATTAAACTCAGCGACCATGGCATTGATTCTGATTCATGGAGATAACATGCGTTTCAGAGTAAAAGTACACTCGGTAGGGTTTTCAGTGGCTGTGAGTTTTCACAAGTGGATTCCAACACCAGGGCATCACGGAATGGGGTCAAACCACCAACCTTTTGGTTAGTATCTAAACCTTTAATCACCTGTGCTACTGCAAGACTCCTGAAATCTACATTACTTAGTTGTCAATGATGAATGATGTTATTTTTGTTAAGCATCATTGAGTTGGTTCTGACTCCCAGTAAGTTATGTATAATAACAACAAAATATTGGCCAGTCCTGTACCCTCTTCAAGGTCATTGGTATGTTTGAGGCCATTAATGTGCTTACTGAAAGCGAAGAAGAATTGAAGGACTTACTGGTGAAGATCAAAGACTATAGTCTTCAGTATAGATGACACTTCAACTAAAAGAAACCCAATATCCTCACAACTGGACCAAAAAGCAACATCTTAATAAGCGGCAAAAAGATTGAAATTGTCAAGGATTTCATTTACTTGGATCCATAATCTTCACCTATGAAAGAAGCATTCAGTAAATCAAATGATGTATCATATTGAGCAAAAGTGCTGCCAAAGAGTTCTTTAAAGTGTTAAAAAGAAAACATATGTGACTTTGAGGAAAAAGATGTGACTGATCCAAGCCATGGCTTTTTCAGTGTTTCAGATGCATGCTAAAGCTGGGCAATGAGTAAGGAAGACAGAAAAAGAGTTGATGCTTTTCGATTATGGTGTTGGCAAAGAATATTGCATATACTGTGGAACAAATCTTGTCTTGGAAGAAGTGTAACCAGAATGCTTCTTAGAAGCAAGGATGGCGGGGATTCATCTCAGATACTTTGTTATCAGGAGGGACAAGTCTCTGATAAAGGACATTATGCTTGTTGAAGTTGAAGGTCAGTGAAAAAGAGGAAAACCCTTGATGAGAAGACCCAAACTGATAGTGACAACAAGAATGGGCTCACACATACCAATTTTGAGGATGGGCCAGAACTGCCAGTGTTTTGTTCTCTCATACAGTGGGTTGCTCTGAGTGGTAACTGACTTGAGAATACCTAACAATAGCAACAACACTGTGCTGTTGAAATAAGAAATATACAGAAATAGGCTTCAAGGCTTGTAAGTCCCCTAATAGTGGTTAGTAGGAAGGCTTGGTGACATATTGGGTTAGGGGTTAGGGCTGCTAACCGCAAGTTCAGCAGTTCAAATCCACCAGCTACTTCGATGGAGAAAGATGAGCTTTCAATTCCTGTAAAGATTTTCAGTCTCAGAAATCCTACACCGGGTTTCTAGGAGTCAGAACTGACTCGGTGGAACAGGACAACAATAGAGAGTGCTAGGTTTTAAGCTGCTGCCTTTATCACTGGTACAACGCTCTTAGGTTTTCCAACTACGTGCACCTGTATAAAATGAGGTGCACACTGATCCCCTAGGTTTGTTTTCAGAAGAATCCCTATATGGTGCAAATACTAGATTAAAGGTGGAGATTCAAAACTACACAGAGATGCCTTAGAAGATGTGGTGGTTGGTGGTTATGTGCCGTGGAATCAGTTCCAACTCATAGTGACCTGTACAGGGTTTCCGAGGCTGTAAGTCTTTACGGGAGCAAAAAGCCTCATCTTTCTCCCGCGGAACAGCTGGTAGTTTCAAACTACTGACATTAATTTAAGGTTCGCAGCCCGATTCGTAACCACTATGCTACCAGAGCTCCTTGCCTCGAAGATGGGTCTGGCAATATGCTACTGGAAAATCTCATCTTTGACAATCTTGTGGGGCAGCTCTACTCTGTACATGAGACAGAAGCAACTGAGAACCAACAACTGCTTTTTCAAGAATTAAAAGATCACCTTTCAAAGAAGAATGAATAAATAACTGCATGACTTTCTTCAGGAAACCAAGGTTATCTTACATGGTGGCTGAATATTGATATTCCAAGCAGCCAATGCTGTTTCCTGTTCTGGAGGACATAACTCTGATGTTATTAGCCCTGGTTTGTGAAACAATGTATCATTTTTATTTTTCTCCATTTGGTTCTAACTGAAGAGAATACAAACCACCAACATTAAAAAGAAAAACACAATTTGTTGTTTAGTTAGACTTCACCTAGTCATTTTTTTTGAAGAAATGAATCGAATATGGATTTTTTTTCTTAGCAAAACATACATTTTGTTCATATCTGTCATATGGTCATTCTAGCACTGCAGATGTGGCAATGGTAACCTAAAATCAATTTCTGGCAATGAACAGGGCAACATTTTCTTCGCTGTTCTTTATCACTTTGATCAACAAATGCTTAGAAATGGGGTCTGGTGTGGCACCGTGGGTTAATGCGCCCGATTGCAAAGCTGTTTGAACTGCAAGGTCGGTGGTTCAAGCTTACCAGCTGCCTCTTGGAAACCCTATACAGGGTCACTATAGGTCAGAACCGACTCTATGGCACTTCACAATAACAACAAACATTGGGTGGAGTCCTAGTGTGGCACAGGTTAAGGCGCTAGACTGCAAGGTCAGTTTGAATGGTAAGGTCGGTGGGTCAAGCTCCCCAGCCACTCCTTGGAAACCCTATACAGGGTTGCTATGAGTCAGAATCGACTTGACGGCACTTAACAACAATTAGAAACATAGTGCAATGTCTAAGAAAACCGCCAAGTTGATAATGAAGTAAATATTAGTTTAATTTGCAAACATCTGTAGTGTAACTGATATGAGTCTGGATAAAGACAAAGTACACTGAATTATACATGTACATCTAATTTTCCATGTGGTAAAAAAAAAAAAAAAAATTGTTTGAAAGAAAGATCTGAATCTTTATAGGGTACCCTGGGATTTTAATGAGGGAAGAGCAAAGTCTACTATAAATCATTATCAATTCTACATTAGAATTTAGCAGCAAACATGTTAACAAGGGAACATAAAGACAATAAAGGAGTTTTATTGTTTGGAAAAAAAAAAAAAATCACAGTTCTTGAACATTACAGTTTTTCTCTTCCAACCTTCCCGCACTCCCTCTCAAAAAATAAAGGGCAAAAATTTCAAGGAAATATGAATTTGTCAAAGGTCTACTTTCTAGTGTGGATTGCTACACAGGATTTCTTTTCTGTGAGTGTATGTTGGTCACTTCTTTCTGTATAAGGGCCATTTCACCCAGAAATCAGCATTTTTCTCTCTTGCAGTTGTATGCTTTTTGTAGGTGTTCTGGTTGTGGGCAGTAGGTCAGTGACACCGGCAGTCAACAGCAAGGTAAACATATAGACCAACACATATTTGTTCCAAGATAACATCTTATGTTAGTACTATCACCAAAAGAAAAACAAAAACAAAAAAAACCCCAACAAAATCCTGATTTTTTTTAAAGTTTTGAAAAAATGTACAAAAATATCAGGACAATTATAAATTAATATATATTAAAGCCTCAAGAAACAGAAAAGGATGGCCTAAAATGTTAAGTACAATGGACTTTGATACAATAAATATTTCTCCTGGAAACTGAATACTGTATAGGGCTGTTTAGAATCCATAGAAACAAAAATTCATATTATTTCTAATTTATTTCTCAATAATCTATTGGTTCTTTATCATCATCTCCTTTATCATTTATATTACAAAAAAATTAATACTGGAAAATGGTACATGAACACTTTTTTTGTGTGCTTCGGCTAACATGCTGACGTTTCAAAGACGGTAGAATGGATTTTTAGCGCCCGCATTTTCTGTGATAGCATGGGACCATGATCTTCAGGGCCTGGTCTATTCTCATCCATTTGTTGTAGCTGTGACTTCTGGAGTGTTCCATTCCCCAGTCTTAGACCCTCACTCAGACATGTGTTTGGTATGTCCTCTCGAACTGTGTTGATGTGAATGAGGATGAGCGGATTTATAACCTGGATAGTTTCCCATCCAAGCTGAGCAGGTCAGGCCGTCCTTGGCTCTGTGCTTGTGGTTTGCTTTCAGCATGTTACAAAGATGTATGTGAGTTCCAATGGTTCCCATTGTGGTAATAATGCCTCCGGGTATAAGTTTCTTCACACTTCTCCTGTGTCGGGGAAGTTTGAGTTCAAGCATTTCTAATTTGTATTTGTCTCAAATGCAGAAGGAAAAAAAAAAAAAAGTCTTTATTCTCATAATAAAAATAAGTCTGTTCTGTATTTTACAATATATTTCAAATATTTCCACTATGAAGCATTCATTAGTCCAACATGGTCAATAAAGTATACGTTTTCTGAGGACCCGCGCTGCCCGGGAGGTGCATCTAGGAGGCACACCGGGTACAACCGCACTTGATCACCTTCTCAACCTCGTCCACAAAGGAAGACCCATCAGTGCATTCAAAAGCGTATTTCCGTCTCTTGCTCCTTAGAGGTCCACAGCACTGCCCGCCTGTACACCCACCCTTGCATTCCAATCGGGATACCTTCTTGGTGGTCTGACAAGCGGCATAGCCCTGCTGTTTTGGATAATAATCTCGTACCCGTTCCCCTCGACAGGAGATTTCTAGAAAAGAATAAAAAAGCACAAACATTTTAAGAGCCGTTGCTATATATCACCCAGAGTGATGGTGAATTCACAACTTCATCCGGAATATGCTGTATTTGCTTCCCCCTCGTAACCGCTATTTTCACGGCTTTGCTTACATTTTTTTTTTTTTTTTATTGGCTGGTGGCACAACCTGCAGTTCTTTGAAACAGACTTCTTTGGGGCCTTTCTTTTCTGCAGAGGGAATGTTATATAAGTGATCTATACATAGAATGCCCTGACAAGAAAATTGGATTCCTAAATCTTTTTTCCTTTATTGAAAAAAATACACATCTTTGATTTTTACATGACAAGCAGCTGGTTTTGTTTACCATGGGGAACAGTTTCAGAGAGTGTGCAATTTAATTTATTAGACCTGGAGTTTAATATTAATCAATCTGTTACTTAATACAAGGAATGAACATTCCACTAACTTCATAAATTATCCTGGTATAAACTACTTCAAAAAGAGACATCTGTTCAGAGTTTCTCTGGGCACGTTCTTCTTGTCTCGTTCCTCTGATACACACAACAACACAAATGCCAGGAAAGCTCTGAGAATGCAGACGAAGGAGAGGCAAAAGATGGGCTAAGAGGTTAAGCCCCCGTTCCATCCCACTGCCTTGCAGACTTTGCAGTGATAAATCAGCCGATTCTCAGATCAAAGGTGATATTGTACTAAAATTCAAAGTGCTATTTTCTCTGTGCAAGGATATGAAGTCATAATACTTACAAATGAGAGGAACTGGAAAGATAAAAGGTACGTAAAGGAAATGTGCTTCTACAAAAGATAAAATGGAATATTTTCAGAGCAAATCAAATTGTGGGAAGATATCTGTAGGCCATGAAAACTCATGTGGTGGAGGTTTAGGGCATTTTCGATCTGCTACTTTCATCAAGATAAACATTAAGATAAATGGAAAAAAAAATTCAAGTTGACAAGGATTGGATATGAAAGCAGCAGTCAAGAAATCAAAGGATATATTGTACTGGGCAAATCTGCTGCCAAAGACCTCTTTAAAAAAACCACAAAAACTAAGATGTCACTTTGAGGATTATGGTGTGACTGACCCAAGCCACAGTATTTTCAACTACTTCAGGTTATGAATTGGAGTGCTAACCTCAAGTTCAGCTGTTCGAAACTACCAGTTGTTCCATAGGAGAAAAGATGAGACGTTCTACTCTCATAAAGCTTTACAGGCTCGGAAACCCTACACAAAGTCATTACTACTATAAGTCAGAACCAACTCCCTGGCCCATCGCCATTGCCACCAGATGCACATGAAAGCTGGACAATGAATAACAAACTAAAGAAGAAATGATGCCTCTGAAATGCGGTGTTGGTGAAGAACATAAAGTATACCATGGACTGCTAGAAGAACGAACGAATCTGTCTTTCTCAGAAGAAGTATAGTCAGAATTCTCTTTGAAAACAAGCATGGCAAGACTGTCTCATGTACTTTGGGCATATTATTATGTTATTGCCTAGAGAAAGACACCATGCTGGTTTAAGTAGAAGGTCAACAAAAAGGAAGAATCTTAAGGAGATGGATTAAGAGAGTGGCTGAAGGCAGTAATTGTAAGGAAAGACCAGGACAGGCTAGTGTTTCATTCTGTTGTACACAGGATCACTATGAGTCACAACTGACTTGACAGCACTTAACAACAACAAGGTTATTAATAAAGGTCCCTAAGGATAAGACTCTTGTGGTTCATTAGTGAATAATTGCTATCAGGGCTGACTGTGAATGTTGCAAATCTAAAGGAAGACGTTTTTGTAACAAAAGGAAGGAAGTAGTTGATCTTACAGTCCAGGAGTGCAGGACCCTGGGACCATCAAAGGTGAAGAGTGGAGTGCGGGACCCTATCCAGAGAAGCAGTGACGCCAGAGATGGAGGCAGAGATGATGACGCGCAGAGATGGAGCGGCTGAGTGCTCTAGACTCAAGGAGGAAGAGAGGCTGTGTGCTGGCGGCCGAGGGGCTGGCGTGCAGGGTCTACCCTTTGGTTGAATGGTTACATATTCCTGAGTGCTTCGGTGTACATCAAAAAACAAAACAACAACAAAAAAACAGAGGGAATGGAAGCAAATGTTGAATGATGATGCATGGAGGGGACTGCAAACATTAAAATGAAACGAAATACGATAGGATGAATGTAAAGCTGATGTCCTCCCATGTAAACAATCAGTCAATTCACAATAAAATCTTAAAAAAAAAAACAGAAATGCAAAATAAAAAGGCAATTCCAGAGAAAGAAAAAGGTCCCTTAGAAGGTCTCTGACTTCTGGTGTGGTGCTGTGGATCAGCACTGGACTGTGAATCACAAGGTCGGCAGTTCAAACTCACCAGCTGCTCCTTGGAAACCCTAGACAGGGCCACTATGAGTCAGAACCAACTTGACGGTACTTAAGAACAACAGGAAGAAGATGGTCTTTGTGCTCAACCATATAGCCAGTTGCATGGAAGAAAACTGCTATCATAAAGACTAGAGTCAGGATGGTGGAGCCCTGCTGTGGAGCTGTAGGATTAAGTACTGGACCCAAGGCCGGTTTGAACTACAAGGCCAGCAGTTCAAATTCACCAGCAGCTTCTTGGAAGCCCTATACAGGGTCGCTAGGAGCTGGAACTGACTCGGCAGCACTTAACAGCAATGACACAGTCAAGTGGACTCTATGGAGCAGTTCCACCCTGTTACACACGGACTTTCCATTTTCCACGAGTGCAGGCAGGGGTGAACATGACAGCAAAAGGCTTTTTTCTTTTGTGTGTGTTTTTGGTTTTGGTTTGGACCTAATACTTAAAAAAAGGAGCCCTGTAAGATAAGCACTGGGGTTTTCTACGAAGTACTTAGTGGGTTCCGACCACTAACCGTCTGGTTAGAAATCTATCACTTTAACCATGGTGTCACCAGAATTTCTAACAGGAAAACAGAGGTATCTAATTGTAGGCCTTTTAATCCTCAGTCCAAAGATCTTTTTTGCCATCTCAGATCAAGTTATGCCATTGTCAGGAAGCGTTCTAATTCAGATTTTTAAAATGTGTATGCAGGGGGCTTGATGGAGGCTAGGGAGGAGGTGTAGTGAAGGTCGCCATCAGCAATAGCTCAGAATACCAGGCAAAGCAGATCCAGAGCAGAGCTCCAAAACTCAGAACCACAGAGCTAGGACTATTTTGAAGATTTGAAGGCTTATAGATTGTGGAACTTGAAACTGAAGTAAAAAATGGCATACTTTTGAATCTGCCAGGCTGGGCTCGGAGACCCAGAGCCGACATTTTGGGCGAGACCAAACGGCAAGACCAATCAGGGAGAGCAGAAACACCAAGGAAGAACGCCACGGGAACCTTGGAGCAAAGGTGGACAATAAACTTTGTTTGTTTTGCTTTGTTCTGATTTTTTTTTTTTTTTTTTTGTATCTGGTCATTGGCGTGCCAACTGCTTGGCCACCTCCATTCTGGTGACTAGAGGGGGAGCCTGAGCAAGTGGACACCCCCCACCCTCACCACTGGTGGGTTCTTCTGCCACGCATGCGCACAGATACTCAGCCCTAGAGCAGGCCCTGAGCGTTTCTTATTTGCTTGTTTTTTTGTTCTGTTTTTTAATACGGGAAAGGGCAGGACAGGGCTGTAGAGAGGGAAAGAGAGTTTAACAACAAAACAGGATGAAAATTCAATTAAAGCCTGAGGTCTAGCATAACAACCAACACTGGCATCTTGAATTCTCTCAGGCAGCTTTGAAAGCAAGAAGTTGAAGAGAGGACATTAAAGTCAGACTCATATTAGGCTACAGATTTTCTTTTTTCTTCTCTCCTTCCTCTCCCTTTTCTGTGATTAGGGACTTCAGTATTCAGTCTAGTTTTTGTTGTTGCTGTTTTTTGTTTGTTTGTTTTCTCTCTCTTTTTTTTTTTTTGTTGTTGGTGCTGTTTTGCTGTTATATGGCTCCCTCTTCTACCTTTGGAGGACTCTTTCTCTCCTTATGTTACACAGGAAGAGTCAGCAACTGCTGCCATGTAGCCAAGCTACAATCACACTCTATAAAACACCAAAACCCAGGCAAGAATCAATACCAACTGCCATATACCAGGGAGGCAGACAACACCTGTGAAAGTTACTCTGAGTTAAGCAATAAGAAGAGTGAAAAGGAAAGCCCACATCTTGAGCACATCTCCCTAGAAGCAATCAGAAAGCATAAAAAATACCAAAACACATACTCAAGTATTAAGGCCACAGATAAACACTAAAAACATGTCCAAGAAGCAAAAGCAGATGACCATATCAGCACATGTCCAGAAACAAGATAAAATGTCTGAGACAAATGACCTAGAGTTAGACCTGGACTTCATTTTGGAAGGGGGGCAGGCCGTAGAAATGCCTGAAAAGGAATTCAGAAAAATGAGATAAGCACTGGACTAACTGCAAGGTCAGCAGTTCAAATCCACTAGCTGTTTCATGGGAGAAAGATGGTATGGTGTTGCAGTAGAATGCACTAGACTGCAAGGTCGATCTGAACAGCAAGGTCAGCGGTTCCAACTTACAAGTCGCTCCTTTGAAACCCTTTACAAGTTCACTATGAGTCAGAACTGACTCCACAGCACTTAACAACAACAACAATAACATGAGTTGGAACCAACTCGACGACACTTAACAACAACAAAAGATTTCATAGAGTTCTGGTTTGGTTCTGTAGGTTAAGCACTGAACTGCTAACTGCAAGGTTGGTGGTAGTTCAAACCCAGCAGCTGCTCCTCAGAAACCCTATACGGGGTCACTCTGAGTCAGAACCAACTCCAAGGCACTTGAGTCAGAACCAACTCCAAGGCACTTAACACCACCAACAACAACAAAGACTAACTTTGAGTCAGAATCAATTTCATGGCAGTGGGTGGGGTCTAACACTTGAAAAGAAACCAATCAGAGCATCTGCAGGAACTGCAAAGACCTGGTATTCTTCCTCCCTCTGTCTCTCTTTTCGAAGATGAGAGACCTTTCTTGCTTTCCCAAGAGATGGTGAAGTCCGAGCAGGCTGACTTACCCTGATCACAGCTCTCCCCAGTGTATCCGCTGCTACATTCGCAATAAGGCTGCCCACGTCCCGAGAGCCGGCACTTTCCGTGCTTACAGCTGATGGCCTGGCAGGGGTTAAACAGGTCTTCCTCTTCATCACAGAGGACACCCCCGTGGCCCTCAAGGCACTTACAGCTGTAGGAGAATGCATTGATGGGCAGGCAGGTACCGTGAACACACCTGTGAGGGAGAGAATCGCAGGGAGGGAAATGTATCAGGTGGAGGATGTAGTAAGTATGAACTGAGGGGGCTGAACTCCAACGTTCACCAGAGCCCAAAGGTGGAGACAACCTAAACTTCTATCTATAGCTGGATGGAGCAACAATATACGGTCCATGCATACAATGGAATAATGCTACTCAGTCAAGAAGAGAAATGAAGCGCTCCTGTGTACTGCAACGTAGAAGAACCTTGGAAACAGTTTTTATTGTTGTTGTTGTTAAGTGCCGTCGAGTCAGCTCCTACCCATAGCGAGCCTGAACAGGGTTTCCGAGGCTGTAAATCTTTACAGGAATAGAAAGCCTCATCTTTCAGTAAACTGGGTGAAATAACTCAATCACAGGAGCCAATTACTGCATGCTCCCACATGTATGAAGCAAAGAAACGTCTAGAGACCAATATTTATGAGTGAATCCCAGGGTGACAAGGGGGAAAAACAAGAGAGAAGGGCTTTCTTAAGGGGAGGAGTACAAGCTTGGGTTGGTTCTAACCCACCCACTGGCACCCTGAAAGAAAGTCCTTCTGAAAAGGTCACAACCTTGAACACCCTCTGGAGTGCAGGTCATTTCTGCAACACGGGGTTGCTATGAGCTGCGGTTGTCATTGTGACGACTCGTAACTGGTTGCTGAGGAAGCTCTAAGTTTAGGTTGTTGTTATTGTTGTGAAGTGCCATCGAGTCGATCCCGACCCATAGCAACCCTGTATAGGGTTTCCGAGGAGCGGCTGGTGAGCTTGAACCGCCGACCTTGCAGTTCAAATGGCTTTGCAGTCTGGCACATTAACCCATAGAGCCACACCAGGACTCCAAGTTTCGGTTAGTGGTGGTGGAATGGTGGTAAAGCTTGTACACCAGATGTAGAGCCAATGCCACTGAAATGTCCACATAAAATTGAATTCACAAATATTTTGTTACATGTATTTTTACTACATAAAAATTTTTTTAAGAAATCGTGGGAGCAGGATTAAGTGGATATCAATGAACACCGATGACCTATTCTTCCATGCCCTCCGTGCCTTCCTTTCCAGGGTTGCACTTTTAGCATTTGGTGTGGGGGGGTGTCCCTATCAAGCAGCCGGGACTTACTTATTTCCCAGACAGGGGTCATTGGTCCTCTGGTCGCACAGGGGCCCTTTCCAGCCTTCCTCACACTCGCAGGTGAAGCCCGATTGGCTGCTGGACTGACAGGTCCCATGGGCACACACCTTCTTGTGGCATGGCTCGCAGCCAGGCACAATGCCTGTCTGCATGGGCACTTTCCGGAAGTCCTGAAGTTCGCTGTTGATGTACAGGTTTCGAATGCACCCATGAAAGCTGGTGCCGTTCTGCCCAGGAGCCTGGCGCAAAGCAGCTGCCACATTGTTCTTCCCGGGCATGCCTGGGGAGAAATACGAGGTCAGAGGTCAGCTATTTGCTACCCAGTCCCAAGCCACCTTCAGGGGAAACTGGAAATCATTAGCATAGAATTTTAGCACTAGGGGCAACTCATCTAAGAGGTGATTCCGTCTAGTGCTTCTGCACCTGACTGCAGTTAGGATAACATGGAGGTCTTTTCATAAGCACCGACAGCTGGACCTCTCCTCAGACCTACTTAATCAGAAGACCTAGGTGGGATGATGTGGGGAAAGAAGAGATGTATTCTGTTCTGTTTGGTTTGGAAGACACTTCAGAGCATTCAAAATCAATCTTTAAGTTTACTTATTATTATTATTTTACCAGAATCTGTTCTTCAAACAAAGCTTTACTAAGAAACACAAATCAATAGGTCAGCAGTTCAAACTCACCAGTCGCTAATCAGAAACCCTATATGAGGTTGTTATGAGTTGGAACTCAACTGTACTTAGCAACACTTACAAGAAAGAAAAAACAAATTAACCACACTGCCATCTATTTAATTCTGACTCATTAGTGACCCTGTACAAAGTTTCATTTTTCCGGGAGCAGACAGATTCATCTTTCTCCCACGAAGCTTTTGGTGCGTTTGAACTGCTGAGCCTGTGGTTAGCAGTCCAATGCTTAACCCATAGCACCAACAGCACTCCTTGAGGACACTAGCTGCTCTTTTTATGTACCATCGAGTTGGTTCCAATTCATAGAGATGCTGTATAGAGTGTCCTAGAGCAACTAATAGGCTTGAACAGACAACTTCAGAGTTTGCAGTTCAATGCCTAACCCACACCACCACCAAGGCTCCTTATAGACCCCAGCTGGTTGTTGTTAAGTTCCATTGAATTGGTTCTGACTCAGCAACACTGTATAGGGTTTCTGAGGAGTGACTGGTGGGTTGGAACCGCTGACCTTACAGTTGGCAGTCCAATGCGTATCCTACAGTGCCACAGCAGGGCTCCATGGACCCTCACAGCAGAGTCCAAAGGTTAAAGATAAAAGTGGAAGGAGGGATTCATATTCTCTACTTCCTCCATCCTTCCCTCAAGCTAGACGTCCCTGAAAGCGCAAGCTCAGTGCAGCAGAATTTGTAATACCACGACTAAGTCTAACCCTTCATGCCGAAGATGGGGGGCCAGCACCCAGAGAGCTCAGGCAGTGTGCTCAGCGTCGCCCAGAAAACCAGGGTTAGACTGCCATCCAGGAGATGTACCTCCTCAACTCCACGAGGCGGTTCTGTCCAGAGGGTGACTGCCCAGCCCAGGCCTGACAAGATCCCCTGGAGGCCATGGATGTGTGTGCTTGGAAAACACACCCCTGCTTCGTATCTGGATAGCACCTCATTCACATGCTTTTACATTTTTTTCTAATTGAGAGTGAAACCTTCGTCTTCTAAGAAATCAGGAATGAAAAACCAACAAACTCCCCCAGCAGAAGTTTGCAATCTTTGTGTATAGGCATGCTACCAATGACAGTCATCTGGTAACCCTCATTTTGGCAAAACTGAGGAATCTTTCCATGGCCTAAGCCAGGTCCTGAAATAGTTCTTGGAAGGGATCCTGCATTGGGCAACTGCCCAGGATACTTTGGGGTAAGAAGAGGCAGCTGACTTGAGTGTCCCCCAGCACAGGCCCTGCTGTGCTTGGATCCCAGGTACTGCTTGTAGTTTCCACACAGGCAAGACTCAAACACGTATTCTCTAAGGATTCCATTGGTTAAAAATATCTAGACCTATAACACTCTCTGGAACCCTGCTCTGAACAATTGGCTTCCCATTCAAAAGAGCATCAAGTCCTGTTGTATCAAATGATGCTCTTGTGTGGAGGTTCTGACTCACAGCAACCCTATTTCATAGACAATTGAAAGTTGGACAATGAATAAGGAAGACCACAGAAGAATTGATGCATTTGCGTTATGGTGTAGGAGAAGAACATTAAAAGTACCAGGGACTGCCAGAAGAACAATCGTATCTGTGTTGGAACAAGTACAGCTAGAATGCTCCTTAGAAGCCAAGATGGCCAGACTTAAGTCTCTCATTCTTCAGACACGTTATGAGGAGGGACCAGTTCCTGGAGAAGGATATGCTTGGTAAAGTAGAGGGTCAGTGAAAAAGAGGAAGATTCCCAATGAGATGGATTGCCACAGTGGTAGCACCAATGGGCTCATGTGTTTTGATAATTTTGTGGATGGTGCAGGACCGGGCAGGGTTTGGTTCTGTTGTGCCTAAGGTTGCTGTGAGTCAGAAGTGACTCATGGACAACTAACAACAGCAATGTAGAGTTTCCAAAGTGTAGCTGGTGGGTTTGAACCACCAACCTTGTGGTTAGCAGTCCAATACTTATCCTACAGGGCCACACCAGAGTCACTTTAGAATCCTTGTTGTTGTTAAGTGCTATTGAGTCAGTTCAGATTCATAGCGATGCTGTAGATGGTTTCCAAGGAGCAGCTGGGGAGATTGAACCACTGACCATGTGGTCGAGTGCTTATCCAACAGTGCCACACCAGGACTCCTAGAAGGCACCAAAGTCAGAAAGGTGTTCAAAGCCCATAAAATTAAAGGTCAGAAGTCTTTATAGTGAGTTCTGTGTGCACTTCCCCAAATCATTTTCCTCTTTCAAGGACTTGGTTTTCTCATCTCTAAAATGAGTGCTGGACCAAGCAGTTGTTTAGCACAGAAGAACTAAATTCTCTCTGTGAAGGACTGAACTGTATTCTCCAAAAATCTGTGTTATGAAGCCTATCCCTCCTAATCCTGTTTGGGAATGGGCTTCTTTGTTGTATTAATGAGGGAGTATTACACCTGTTGTTAAGTGCCTCCAAGTCAGTTCCAAACCACAGTGACCCTGTATAGGGTTTCCAAGGAGCAGCTGGTGAGCTTGAACCACCAACCTTGCAATTCAAATGACTTCACAGTCCAACGCATTAACCCACAGCGCTACACCAGGACTCCCTTACACATGTAGGGGGTTTTAAGTCAATCTCTTTTGAGAAAAGAAAAAGTTGTTGTTGTTAAGTGCCACCAAGTTGGTTCTGACCCATAGCAAACCTATATAGGGCTTCCGAGGAGTGGCTGGTGAGTTTGAATTACCAACCTTGCAGTTCAGCATATTAAGCCACAGCACCACACTAGGACTGCACAGAAAGAGAAGACATAGCAAACAGCAAACACAGCAGACAAGGGAAGACAGATGTTGCCTCACATGAGCTCTCCCAAGAAACCAAGAAACAGAAGCTGAACAGGTCCTCCCCCCTAGCACCAACCCAAAGAGCGCTTCCTTTGAGCTAGCAGGCTGGATTCAGACTTCTAGCTTCCTCAGCTGTGAGAAAATTAGATTTCTGTTTGTTAAGATCACCCACTAGTAGTATTTAGGAATGCTAGTAGTAGGATAAGCACTGGACTAATGATTGTGTGGTTGGTGGTTAAATCCCATCAGCCTCACCAAGGGTCACTGAGTTTGGAATTAATTTAAAGGCAGTGGGTTTTTGGGGTGGTGCTGTGGGTTAGGTGTTGGGTGGAAGAAAGATGAGGCTGTCTGTTTTTGAAAAGATTTATGATCTCAGATGCCCTGTGTCACGTCACTGTGAGTCAAAATGGATTTGATGCTCGTGGATTTAAGGTTTGCGGCATTTCTGTAAAAGCAGCCTAGAGAACAATTAAGACAACTTCCTCGCCCCATTCTAAGATTCTGATCCTGTGGGGGGGGGGGGGCATGAAATTTAGAAATCTAGAAATTACAGCTCAGGTTTGGACGTTGGAGGTCCAACAACACATTAGATACACATCGAACGATGTGTCTATTGGGTCTTTGTCATTTAAGTTCCCTGAGTCCAGGCTTTCTGTCTGGCCCTGCCAAGAGGGTTGCTTTGTAGATTGGGGTCAGAAGGCTGAAATGGACCATTTCCAAAAGAGAACTAGTGACAGGAAATTCCTTGCTCTGGGATAAGTTTTTCCAATTTCATCATATTCATCCATCATAAACTTACAGACTTCGATCTAGGCATGTTTATGGGCCTTTCTTTAGAAGTTAAAAATGAACTTCTTTTAAAATGATTGTCATAGCTCATTTTGATAGAGATACAAATGCACATACGTCCACATGTCAACACTAAGCACAGAATGACGAAGCTTCCCAGCTGAAAGACGCAAAGAGCAAATGTGTTTCCTTTTTATTCTCAACGTGAACAATTACAAAATGTTCAGCTTTGATCACAGTTATCAGCAAATGAAATATCATCCTTATATTGGACTCTGGTGTGGCACTGTTGGTTAATGCACTGAACGGCAAGGTCACTTTGAACCGCAAGGTCTGTGGTTCAAGCTCACCAGCCACTCCTTGGAAAACCCTATACAGGGTCACTATGAGTCAGTACTGACTTGATGGCATTTAACAACAAATATTGAGAATTATTCTCCACCACTGCTTCCATGTGGTGTTGGTAGCTATGTGCCGTGGAGTCGGTTCTGACTCACAGTGACCTGTATAGGGTTTCTGAGACTGTAAATCTTTACAGGATCAGAAAGCCTCATCTTTCTCCTGCAGAACAGCTGGTAGTTTCAAACTGCTGACCTTGAGGTTAGCAGCCAGACTCGTAAACACTACACTACCCAGAGTTCCTTTGTTACCATGTACTTGACACATTTCTCACTAGAAAACTAGGTTTTAACTGATAAGAGTAGAGCTATGAATTTTTAAATTAGATTTTCCTCTATACCATACATCCTAGCTGGAATCTCATTAAAAGATGACTTACTATACAATTTTCAGCTTGAAGAAAAGCTGGAAGTTTTCAAAAAGAAAGAGCCCGAGGTCTTAAGCAATGCCAACACTTAGAAGAGGACTTGCCACACAGGCCATGATTCCCCACATGCAGCTCTTGTTTATGTATTTTCCCCCCCACTAGGTAATAAATAAAGAGCCTTGGAAGCATAGTGGGTTCCAAGCTGGGATGCTAACTGCAAAGGTCAGCAGTTCAAAACCACCAGCAGCACCTTAGCAGAACGATGAGGCTTTCTGTTACCATAAAGATTTATCAAAAGATGTATTGCGTTAGGCAAATCTGCTGCAAAGATGTCAGCTTGAGGACTAAGGTGCACCTGATCCAAGCCATGGTATTTTCAATAACCTCACATTCATGCAAAAGCTGGACAGTGAATAAGGAAAACCATAGAAGAATTGATGCTTTTGAGTTACGGTTTTGGAGGAGAATATTGAAAGTACCATGGGCTGCCAAAAGAACCAACAAAACCAACTTTGGAAGAAGTGCAGCCAAAATGCTCCTTGGAGGCCAAGATGGCCAAACTTCGTTTCTCATACTTTGGACATATTGTCAGGAGGGACCAGTCGCTGGAGAAGGATATCATGTTTGGTAAAGTGGAGGGTCAGAGGAAAAGAGGAAGACCCCCAGCAAGTGGATTGGCAAAGTAGCAGCATCAATGGGCTCAAGTGTGGCAACAATTGTGCGGTTAGCCCAGGACCGGGCAGTGTTTCGTTCTGTTGTGCATAGAGTCGCCACTATGAGTCAGTACCAACTCGATGGCACATAACAACAAAGATTTAGAGCCTCAGAAACACTAAACAGGGTTGACAGGAGTCAGAACCGACCTGATAGCACACAACGACTGGGAACAAATGGACTGGAAATAAGGTCTGGTGATCTACTTATGAAAATCAGCCAATGAAAACTCTATGGACTGGAAATAAGGTCTGGTGATCTACTTATGAAGATCAGCCAATGAAAACCCTATGGACTGGAAATAAGGTCTAGTGATCTACTTATGAAAATCAGCCAATGAAAACCCTGTGGACTGGAAATAAGGTCTAGTGATCTACTTATGAAAATCAGCCAATGAAAACCCTATGGACTGGAAATAAGGTCTAGTGATCTACTTATGAAAATCAGCCAATGAAAACCCTATGGACTGGAAATAAGGTCTGGTGATCTACTTATGAAAATCAGCCAATGAAAACCCTATGG